CAACAACCACAATGAAGTGTGAGGGACAGCTGAAGCGCACACACGCACACACACACACACACACACACACACCTCCTCACGTCTCGTGTTCCAGTGCTGCAGGTTTCTAACACTAAGCTCAGAGTGTGAGCCCAAAGCTAAGGCTGCTCTGAACTCTCAGGCTGGACCTGCATGATGTCACAAATAGGGGACGCCCTTGTATGCTCATCTCAGCTGCGGAAGCCCCGCCTACCTGTTGTTTGAACCCTCTGTTTGTGAGAGGCAGCCAATCAGAACAAAGGTCCAAGGATATTGTAAAGAAAAGCGTCTGTACTTCTTTAAGTTGTTTCTTCAGTTCTTCAGAACTGAAGAAGCTTCTAGGGTGAGAGGTGAAACGTCTTCAAGCTACTTAAAGAAGTCCAGACGCTTTTTTTCCCCCAAGCTCCTTAGACTACGATCATCTGGATGACTGAGAACTAGGGCTGCCACAAACAATTATTTTGATAGTCAACTAGTCATCGATTATTTTTGCGATTAGTCGACTAATCAGATCATCATCCACTGGACGTAAAACGTACAGCTTATTGCACCAGCAGCTAGAGCAGGGCGATATGACCAAAAATATTTATCACGATATACATTTGAAAATTTGCGCTAACGATATAACTGACGATGTAATTGACACGAGACAAAATACTCCACAACTTTATTAGTGCAAAAACCCCATCAATGTATTTTCACTTAAACAAGCAGCTGTTTTTTATGTGCATTAAAGTAATATACAAATGTAACAGTGCAAATGCAAATTCATTGCTGACAGTTTAACCAAAAGCCATTTCCAGTGGAGAATGGCCGACATATCCTCAGCATAACCATGTATAATATCCACTAAACTTAAAAACAGGTTAAAAACAGTACGTATCACTCCGCGAGGCTCCTGCCTACAATAGCCGTAATGCTCCGACAATCCATCAAGCGGTGCGGCTTCGTAGCTTAGCAAAGTCGTACTAAAGCATTTGACAGATTTTCGAGCCCCATGTACATAAAATCGTTTCGAGGTCAGTAAACACAACCAGAGTTCATACATAAGGCACACGGGATTATAAGGGGCTCTGTCGACTTTACAGAAAATCAAAGGATTGGAAAATACGGCACACTTAAAATCAAACAACACGGTAATAACGACGGCCCGCTAGCATCTACCAAAAATAGTGCTTTGTTGTGTATCTGACGGACGAAAGCTAAACCAGTTCCACACCACTGAAGCTGCAGCATTTTTACAAACCAATTCAGCTTCATCTGTTTCATTCAATGATCCACTTTTGCGCTTCTCATTCTGCATCACCGCCATGTGCGTATGTAAACAAAGGCACTGCGCATGCGCGTTTTACCCATATTCTATTGCGATATTTCATTTTCCTATCGTTGCCCAAAATTACACCGTATTACCGTGAACGGTATGATATAGCCCAGCCCTACCAGCAGCATCTGCTCTTATATAACTATTATTAGCTTACAGCTTTAAGTGTTTAAGGTCTGTGCTAACTAAAAATAAAGACAAGATGACAGTTTATTAAACTTTAATGAAATTTGCAGATTGTTTCGGTGAAGTTTAATAAACTCCTTGCTATCTAAAATATAACAGGACACCGGAGTATATTCTCCAGCGTCTCACACTTCTGATAATCAGCTGTCTGTCTGACGTTTTTCAGCTGTGTGAAAACCACCCAGGGAATTAAGAAAGTTTTACTTAATCTAATCTCAGCCAAACAGATTTACTCACGAACAAATAAAACACTGAAAAAAAGCCAAACAATAACATTTTCAGGTTATCTAAGTGACTTATATATCACGTTTAACCTGAGTAGCGAAAGACAGCGGTGGGTCTGAAAACAATTTCCCAGGAGTGTGCCATTCTCGCCAGCTCTAGTGAGCCTCCAAAAACGTTGGAGCACTTTTGAAAATATGTGGTTTCTTGATAAACTGAGCAGATATTTGAGGTTTACACAGCTACATTCTCGCCTGAAAATATCTTAAACGTTTATTTTGTGACCCAGAAAGAAAAAATAAGAGTAATATTAAAACTAACTAGCTGCCGCCATTGTTGGAAACTGGAATTGGCTGAGCTGCGCTATGAATTCTGGGATAGGTTGTGCCACAAAGGATACGCCGACCCATCCTTCAAATCTGGGGAAATGAAGGTCACATTTGGAGGAATCTTCGAATTTGGACAGTCTTCGCCGCGTTGCTGTAACATAATCGGCCTACAAATGCGGCCTCCGAAGGATGCGGCCTGAATTTGGTCACAGCTACGATACCGGACACAGCTTCTTCTTCGGGGTTTAACGGCAGCTGGCATCCTTGTACATGCAGTGCTGCTTCTGTTTCAGTCCGTTATTACACTCTTAAATCCTACTACTTATTCCTGCGTCTTTCAGGATCTTACAAAGCTTCAAACGACGCGTCGACTATTAAATTAGTCGTCGACGATTTTGATAGTCGACGTAATCGTGGCAGCCCTACTGAGAACCTTCACAGACAATCAGAACAAAGCTGTCTTAAAGGTGTAGGAGCTAAATCGGCTCAATTCAGACATGGATGAACCGAGGAGCTGCACAAGGCTCAGTGTGAGATAAAGAAAGATTATTATCAACTGTAAATCATGCAAAGCTGCTGTAGCAGAGTCCAAAGATAAAAACAGGGAGCTGGAAACCAACAGGATGACTTTTTTTGGAGGATCAAAGATTCTCCACAAGTTACAAGAACACAGACGCCAAAATATCATCGTCCAGTCTTAAAATGAAAGAGCAGGAAGTGAGCAGAACAGGTCGTTGTTAGCGTCATCCGTGTGAACAAAATCTTTATTTTTGAGGGGAAGTCAGAGAGTAATGATCACAAAGAATAAATGGCACTTACAAATGAGAGTGACAGAAACAACAAATTCAAAGGACGCCTGGTAACGCAGTGCCAACAAGACTGAACAACTGCAGAGTTTGAGAGCAGCAGGACAAAACAAAACCTGCAGGTCCTCGTCATCTCCAGCAGAGCGTCCAAACAAAACCACGACCACAGGAAAGACCTCCTACACTGATCACATGACCAACAACAACCACAATGAAGTGTGAGGGACAGCTGAAGAGCTCCATGTGAAGATCTACTGACTGAAATGTTACGGCCGTGTCGTCAGAGCTGAAGGACGGACCTTCAAGGACCCGCTCAGGGTGAAGTGCTGCAGAGGAAGATGGAGGAAACGGCGGTCTGATAACTCTGAGGAGCTGGCAGGTAAGACCTCGGCAGATTCAAAAAACCATCGCTCACAACCACGAAGCTTGTAGAAGAACGCCGTCCTGCAGGCGTGCTCAGTGCCGCTGCAAGTCCAGAGTTAACGGATCAAGACAAACAATGAAATAGCAAAGAGCAGCGCATCTAAGGAAGCAGGAATAGACCGAGAATTCGCACGTCACATGACAGGAAGCCCTGATCTTCCTCATCCAGACTTTGGACTTCAAAGGGGGACAACGTCAGTCAACTTCAGCTGTTTGGTTAATTTCCTCGTGCTGTTTTCTGATTCCTGGACTCTACCCGAGTATCCTCACCTGATTCACAGCTCAGTCTGGCTTTCAATATGATTTCAGTGGTTTGCTTCGCAGATTTTAAACCGTTTGTGTACATAACAGCAGGAAAGACTCTCACACTCAGCTCCAATCTGATGAGCGACAGTAAACGAGAAGAGTAACGCCAAAACATAGGGTTTTTTTTATTTTATTTATCATGCTCCTCTCGTCCTTTATTACTTTATTTTACGTCAGGAACTCAAATACAAGGAGTCAGCATCCGGACTGGGAAACGTTTGATCAGTGCTCGCCTACGAATATTAGCAGAAACAGTCACAGTCAAAAGAAAGTAGGAAAGTAAGCTAGTTTAAAATCTGGTCCTTAGCTAGTTTAAAATGATTTAAATACAACCTTAAAAAACAACAACAATGTGACATATTAAACTTAGTCAGAATTCATTTATGGGAAAATAGGTCAAAATACAGAAACTGTGTGAGACCTCGACCCTCGCTGCTTCTATAGGAGAGAACAGGGTGGATCCACATTCTCCCAGCAGTGGATGCAGCAAATTCACCAAAAGATCAGAGCGTGCAGTGCTCAAAGGAACTGAACAGGAACGATGTGCTCTGAGACGAGGCCAGAGTGCAGATGTCTCACAGATAAAGCTGGGACCAAACTGGGTCATCAGCAGGACAAAGATCCAACAGAACGGCTGAAAAAGGAAAGAACGGAGCTGCTGCAGAGCTCAGAAAGCTGTGCATGAACGAATGCTGCAGACCTCAACGACCAAAGCTCATCCACAGTGATGGCGCAGACCGATCACTGCAGGTCACTGCTGCTGAAGGAGCTACACCACTTCTGGATTTGGTCTTTTTGTTAAATATTTACTGTGTAATGTACAACGCGTTGTTCATCTGAGATTGTATTTTCTTATTTTTAACACCAAATTTTTTCTGATGTCCTGACACATAAAACCTTACGACAGACAGATGGCGTACGATGCAGTATCGTGCTCTGGTTGTCTGTGTTATTTGGTGTGTTCAAACTTTGTTCTCTCTGCTCGTTAAAGTCACTAACGAGGAACTGCAAGCACGGTGGATGAAAGAGCAGCTGTTCTCTTCCTGCTCCATAGAGGGCACTCTCAAGCTCATCCTGGATGAATGGAGCTCGATGGAGCTGAAGAACAAAAATGTACATTTCGAGACATAAACATTTTTCTCATGGAAATCTTTAGCATGTTTTTACTAGAAAGGATTGAAACAATACATAAAGTTGTATATTTAGACATTTTAATGGATTTTTAATGCAGTAAAGTACTTTTCTATGAGCACCACAAGCCACTTTAATACATCCTCCATTTTGATTTGGGGCATGAAGCCAGCAGCAGTTAGCATCACCTTCAAACACTTCAACCACATAACTACGACGCTAACACCTACAGGAGGTATCACCGGGAAAAGAACGCCATCAAGAGGACCTCCTATTCTAAAACTCACCAATCAGCACATGTTAGCCGAATGCTAGTGTTTTATGGGCAAGAATCAGCGTCACAGTGAATAAAATATTGATCATTACAATTGATTTGTTTCAGTTCACAGAACTGATTCTGGATTTGTGGGAACTAGCGTGTTTTTGTGTGGAAATCACTGCGGGCCCTCCCACAGCGCCCCCTGCTGGGCGCACAGTGGACTGCCCATGCTATCCTCAGTTAGCTAAGCATCCCTGTCCATGTCCAGTGTTACTGGGTTCACTGGTCCCAGTCCTCCCGCGGGCACGACTCCGGTGCGAACATCAGCTACAGCTTCGGTGCCGCGCTGCGCGTTCGTGTTTAATGTTGAACTAAACGGCGTGAGGAGGGAAAACGCTCATTACTGCGTTAAACGGACACTAACGGGGTGAAACCCCGGCCGTTAAAAAGCCGCGAGGTCCCGTTATCTTAAAAAAGCCCACCGTGAGCCGAGGCCCTCGTCAGACCCGCAGAGGGACATGAATAATGCAGCTCATGTCGGCTCCGTAACGGCACACTGCTCAAAATATCACCTGCAAGCTAGCCACTAACACCGGAACACCGTGGGGTTACCTCCAAAATAAAAGCACGGCTTCTGGTAGACACTCACTGTAGCACGCACAGCTCGTCTCGCATTTTGAAAGAGCTCCCCGGCCCTTCTCCCGGCCGCTTCACGGCGAATAAAACACATCTGAGCGCCGCAGTTTCGCTGACAGGTGCAGCCGGTGCTCACACGTTAATCCGCAGTCACACACAAACACGTTAATCCCGCTCTTTAGCGGAAAACGCGCACCTGTGCGCCAGCAGCCGCGCGGCTCTCGGGGAACCCGGTTAGCATGCGGCTAACGTTAGCCCGCTCTGCAGCGGAGACAGCCCGTATCGTGACACCGACTTGCGCAGGGAGCCGGGCACAAAACGGCGCACAGGTACGCTGCCCAGAGGCGTTTTAGCGCATGTGATGACACGGTGTCCTTACCTGTGAGGATCCCCACGCGGGTCTGATGGTCGTGGTTGGTGAGCACCATCCCGTCCGCCGCCATGTTTACAACCTCTGTCTGCACTGTGACGGCGCATACAGAGGCTGGGGGGTGGAGGGGGAGGGGGTGCTGCACCTCTGGAGGAGGACCGGTGTGTGCATGCGCGTGCATTCTGAATCCCCTCCAACTACCGATACGATCAGGTGACCCGGTACCGCCAGAGCTGCAGCTGGATGACCTCTGAGTGGAGCCGTGACATTGACCTCACCATGTCCTCCAATCACAGAGCAGCTTTAAACAAACTCAGGTGCCAAACTCAACCTGCGCTCTGTCTAACATCCAGCAGGGGGCGACCTCTCTGAGGCCTGATTGGATAGAAGTGTAACAGAATTGAGCGTCCAGCTCACCTGAGCTCAGTGAACACAGTTGCTGCTCTCAGGTGTGACTGAAGTACAACGGAACCTTGGTAGCGTTAGAGTCGGGACGGAGCAGGAAGCTGTCCTCTGAGTGTGCACCGTCAGACCCCCGGTTCTAAAAATAAGTTATCTGTTTCTGTTTTGTCCTCCTTTACAAACCCACAGCATCCACGTCAGGTCGGAGGGGCGGAGTCATAATGTCACCCTAAGGTCTGCACTATTAGGCAGGATTTCTCCTTTTCCAGGATTAGCTCTGGGTTTCCTGTACTGTGAAGGCGGATCCTTCTTATTAGGGTTTATCATCATGGCAACTGATGTTGCCCAGGAGTAGGGGAGTTTCTAGATTACAGATCAGCAGGTATGAAATAACTGACCAATCAGATCTCTGGAAATTAGCGTCACACTCCCTTTGAGCTGTTCAGCAGTTTTTGTTCTGTCAGCGTTTAAAGAGGTTTTATTCTTTCCTCTCAGTGTTAAACTCCACCGAGTCTGCAGCTCAGAGGATAAAAGCTAAGACCGTCTTTAACACATTAATGAGACAGAGCTGTGATATGAATCAGTCTGTTCTGTCACACAGTCGGCTTCAAACAGGCTAAACTTTATTAATACAGCAGTGTTTACACACACACCGGTCCCCCTTTGTGAAATCAGCTGCTCTGCTGTGAGCACATTTATCCATGTTTCTGATTGGTCAGATGCTACTAGCCCCGCCCCTTGAACGTACAGGTTAGACCCTGGGTGAACTCAGCCAGGTGAAACAGGCTAATGTTAGGATAAGTGAACGTAGATAACGGACAGTTATTTTTTATCTGCTACTTAACTTCGGTCTTTTTAACTTCGTATTGTTGGGATTAGGACAAGATCGCAGTTTGAGTCATCAGCACTAACCCCGCCCATCGAGACAATCTGGTGAGAATGACCGAGCCGGGTTAGTCTCTCGTTTGAGCCTCCGTGAATAAAAGCTGATGTTCATTTAACGCTATATAAATAATATTTAATAGAACTGGTTTATGCCCCATGTATGCAGGATTTATGCTCCTGCTCTCTGGTTTCGCACAGAACAGGATTGTGGGAATTTAACCTGCGCAGAAGCTACAGAGAAACGTTCAGCCCAGGACGTCACTGACCAATCAAAAGCTCTGTTTCTGATGAAGAACATCGGTCGGAGCGAAGCCTCGGTGAGATCTGAAAGGATCTGCTGACACTCGTCCAGGTTGATTACATTTTATTTAAATTAATGCACTGTCCCCCCCGGTGGGCTGCGATGGTACTGCAGGTGGGCCACAGTACCAAGTTTAAATTACTCATGTAATTACACAGTTATTTGTTTATATACATGAAATTATTTGAATTAAAGTGAATTGGAGCTGGTATCACCAGTGTCCCAGATTACAGCTGTTCTATTTGCTGAAACGTTTTCTGTTATTTTTGCCAGCGTTGCTCCTCGAGGACCTCGGGCTCCTCCCTGGTTGTGAGCGTCCTGTGAAAGGAGGAGGAGGCTGAGCTGGGAGTTCAGTCCCCGCTGTAGATGATCTTTATGGTGGCCACGTCGCGCTCCTCTGCAGGCTCGGCGCCTCTCTGAGTGTTTCCTGTAGAGAAGAGGCTCGAGTTGACCTGGAGGATCCACTCTGTGATCCTCTGCTCGCTGTAGTACTCGTCATCATCGTCCTCCTCCAGTGTCTCTGCGTGACCTCTGACCTCTGAGTCCTCAGATGATGTTTCAGCAGCTGAGTCATCGGAGCAGAACTCTCTCTGCCGTCGCCGCTCCTCACAGGCGCCGCCGTCATCTTTAACTATGACCGGCATCGTTGTCGTACGGCCACCGTCCACACCAGTGATGTCATCGCTCTTCTTCTGCTGTTCCAGCCGCTCAGCGAGTGCCGGTCTGCTGTGGATTTCGCTGAGTCTGTCTGACTGTTGGATTGGTTTCCCCCGCTTTGCCACAAACACATGAAGGATCGTATTTCTGATGGCAGGCGGAGCTGCAGGGACTTCTCCTCTGCCGGGTCTGCAGCCCCTGATGGGCGGCAGAGGGATGTTAGCAGCTTGTTTCAGCTCAGACTGGCCCATCTGTGATGACCACTGACCCGTGTTTAACCTGCTCACGGTGTGAAGGTTAGAAGATGATCTGTTGATCCGCCGGACACTAATCTCCAGAGTCTGACTCGTCTCCTCGCTGATAGGCAGACCTATCTGGCGCCCGGACTTCCCGCTCCTCTTTAAATGAAACCGATCGTGTTGTCTGTGCACGGCTGCATCCGAACTTCTCATCGCTCCTGTTTGCTGTTGGCTCAGCAGATGGATCGGACGCGAGACCTCCACCTTCTTTTAAACGCTCCGAGAGACGGGCGCCTCCTTCACCCACGTCCCAGCTCAGCCCCGAGGAGTCACCTGATCTGTAACAGTACTCCATGGCAGGCTGGCGAGGACTCAGACTCTTCATCAGCTCATTCACTGCAGACGAAGAGCCACCCATCACCAGTGCACAAACACAGAGCCTTTAAAGAAGCGCAGAAAGGAAACTGTGACGTTTGCACAGGGCTGGAGGCTTTTACAGCATCAGATTAACATAAATCAATAAACACATTAAAAACTGATTAAAACTGAAATCAGACGTCACAGTAAATATTTTAGGTGCAGGTTTAACCTCAGAAAAGAAACAAGCCAGAATGGATTCAGTCAATTTATAATTACGGTTGATTCTTGAATGATAATAACTGCAGTAAAGTTTTAACATGGGAGTCTATGAGACTGACTCGCTGCTGGAGCCCCTGCTGGACATCAGAGGAACTGCAAGTTTGGCACAGCCCCACAGGATGTCTTTAAAATGCCCCTAAAGCATCATTATTATTATTATTATTATTATTATTATTAGCAGTTTTTTGCAGCTGTATGTGAGGCCTGATGTCGGAGTTTTCGGTTTATTGTCCCGTCTCTGATAAAATCTACTTGAATTTAAATAAATGCATTTCTCAGCTGCCTCTGTCGCCTGATGAATCCTCCTGTAAAATATTCACAGGTGAGATCTGATCTGCAGCCGTGGACGTTGGACATGATCATCGGAGCAGGAAGTGATGGCGGGACCGCAAACCCTAAACCGTGACTGGAGACTTCAGTTTCCAGTCACGTTCTCTTTTAAAAAGCTCCTTTATCCAGTCCCACTTCCTGCTCACCTAATGAAGTCTGTGCACATGGAGGAGGGGGAGGGGCAGTTATTGCAGTGTGCTGATTGGCTCGCTGTCAAATGTCCAGACAGTGCAGCGCTTTCAGTCCAACGCCAACAAACACGTGCACGCCACTCACAACAGTGCGTCTGATGAACTGAAGCTCTAAAGTTGCAGCGTGGCCTCTGACACCGAACACCACCTGTACGGGCCGAGACTCACCTGGTGATCTCACTCTTTCCACCAACAGCCAGCGAGGAAGGTGTGTGTGTGTGTGTACTCTTCTATAACAGAGGGTCTTCCACTCTAGTTTATCACACTGGTTTTGATGGAACAGGCTGTGATGCTTCTGGCTGTTTTAAGCCTGCAGTAATCCAGCTGTCCTGATAATCATCGACCTGGATCAGAACAGCTGTTTTTGTTCTACAGGAAGTTGTTTACATCGAGCTGTGACTGAGGGGGCTTTAAGTAATTCGATTACATGGAATTTTGTTCCACAAGCACAAAGTAAAACACTTAACTTAATGGAACACGGTCTATCCACGCTTATTTTCTTAATAATTTTAAAATAAATGATATGTGATTACCTGGGTGTCGTTCCCCTCCTCTGAAATCACTAAAAACCAAAGTTAACCCTTTTCAAACAAATTTCAACTCCATTTAAAGACGAAACACAGGATCTTATTACCCTCTGAATATGACTCTTTTTGTTTTTACCCAAACAAAAAGATCCAAACATGTAAAAACCGTCCAGTAAAATTTGTTTTCATACAGAAAATGTCTGTGGTCCGTTTTAAAGTCACGAATAAAGTGCAGCATGCCGTAACAGTGGGAAAAACGCTTCTACCAATGAAATGTGCTTCTTTTCATGAACAGCTCTGAGCCGTAAAGATGACATCATCACAGAGCCAGCACTGATATGTAGTGATGCGCGAATCATGAATGAATCGTTCAGTACTCGAGAATCACTTTATTGACCCATGAATCATGATTCACAAGCCCAACTGACTCACTGACTCATCCCTGTTGCTGTTAGAAAACTAATTTCATTAGTAGAAATATATCTAGCTTATAATTAAAATTGTGGAGAAAAACACAACATCCAGTATCTTAACAAAAACATTTCTGCTCTGAACTGGAAGAAAAAACCCTGAGTAGAAGCTCACATCATACGGAGCCCCGCAGGGGACATGGGAGAAAAAAACATTAAGACGGACTTTTGCGAGATCTCACAAAAGTTTCATACATCTCCGAAAACGTCGGAGCACTTTTGCAAATATGTGATGTCTTGTAAACCGAGCAGATATCTGACGTTTACACAACTACATTCACGCCTCAAAATATCTTAAAAATGTATTTTGTGACCCAGAAAGAGTAATATTACAACTAAGTAGCTGCTATTGTTGGAATTCAACTTTTGAGATCTCGCAAAACAAACGCGGGATCTCGCAAAACTTTTTGAGATCTGGCAAAAGTTGAAGTTTTGCGAGATCCCGAGTTTGTTTTGCGAGATCTCGCAAAAGTCCGTCTTAATTTTTTTTCTCCCATGTCCCCTGCGGGGCTCCGTACACATCAAGACAATAGCTCCTTGGTTCACAGTAGCATCGCTCTGCTAACATCTGGACTGACATGTGGAGCTGGCTACAGTCCAGGAGAATTCACATTCATATAAGATCCTGTCTGGAGCTGTAGCTGAGAGGCTAAAGAAAGGCATGTCAAACATTAGCAGTGAAACACAATCAGGTTTTTTGAAAGGAAGACTAATTCATAACAATATTAGGCTGGTTTTGGATCTCCTTGAATACAGTGAATTAATCCAAGAGAGAGGGTACATCCTGTTCTTGGATTTTTACAAAGCATTTGACTCAGT